GAAAGAATTCCTGAGTCGGCGTGGGGCGGCTTAGGGCATGGACATCAAGTTCCTGGAGCCTCTGAACATGGTCAGGCTGTTGCCAGCACTCTGAGGTATCCTTAAATCGATCTGCAAGAGACAGGTATTTGCCTGGGCAGTTTTTCAATGAACATCATGATGGACGGTTTCGTCTGAGCCCAAGTTTGCTAGTTGCGGCGAGGAGCGGACAGTTCCCATGCAACGTCCATTACATTCCAACACGTCCAATATACGTAGATTTTTGATCTCCTGGGGCCCCAATTTTGCTACTGGAATCTTCCCGCGCTGCCGAGGCCCCAAGACAATCTTTGTTTACCTCAACGACGTCGTGCAGCTTGGTTCAGAGTTGGGTCTGAAGTGAAATCGTTCCGAGAAAAGGTTCCGCAGACTGTCGACATTCGAGCGCTAGGCCTGGAGACGGTGGTGAGACAATGTTTCCTGAGCTTGAACTCAAGGCAGGGCCTTACAATGCACAAGATTTTATCACACGCACATGTGGGGCCACGTGCAACCACGTGCACGTGCCGACTCGCAATGAATGACCATTCCCTCAGATCGTCCCACGTCGTGGTTGTGCAGCTGTGTGCTCAGAAACCTCAGCATCTTCAATAAGTATTGGTTCACCCATGACCTCCTCCGCCTGCTTGAGTCGTGTTTCAAGTCTGCATCTTTGTGATGAGGTCATGTGGACAAATGTGCTGGGTCCGCAACGAGAAGACAAACGAATGGTGCTGCCCGTGTGCCTGCTTGCGTTAAGGAGGAGTTCCTCAGATTTCTCTGTTGGCTCCACAAGGTGTCGAACCACCTCCCCACCTGTGTACAGAGGGCATGGGCCTCCATGGGCTGTGGGGCACTTCAAAACGGTTCTTACCCGGCCAATTGCATCGGCAGTAGTTGGGGGCGCTTGAACCGTTCCGTGATATCCCGTGCACAAATGCTGCGTGTCTGCAACTGCTAAGTTCAAGTCTCAGACACGTCGAGGGAATGGATAGATATTCGGAGTGGCTTGGGGTGTGCGCCTGTGTTCATGCTTTTGCTATTGTGAAGCGAGAGGCGCTGCTGAACCCAAGTTGGCGTTTTGCGATTCTCGAGATCGCAAATTTCGCAAAGTACATCAGAAACAGCTTTGATGATTTCCAATCGAGATTGAACAACTCGGTGGGCAGATTCTCAGATTCTTTAGCTTTAGCAACAGTCAGAATGACATGCTTGCTGACCTGAAATACGGTTCCCGCCTGTACGTTTTCATGTCAGAACATTGACTGGATGACAGGGTGACACACGGAGCTATCCAGGGAACCGGTTTCTGGAAGCTATGATGCATCGGGTAGATCGCTCACACTGTTTCTTTAAAACCATGGCACACGTTCTGCGGTGCTCGCCATGTTAGCTGTTAGCGCCATCACAGCGCATCGACGTCGTCGGCCTAACGTGCCGATTAAGCTGGTGTGAAACAGTAATTCGCTGCAACCGGAGATGCAAAGGCTACCATGCAAAGCACGGCTAGGCTCAGATCTAGGTGTTGCCAAAACAGAGGTCTACATGTTGATGAGCAAGAGGGGCACTGGCATAAAATGCTCATCAAGTGTCCATTGCGAGCCGGGTGGAAGGCGGCCATGTTGTGCGCGGCACCACATATGCAGAGATGCGGAGTGCAAATGGAGTTAGGTGTCGAACGGGGTCGACTCGTCCCATGGCCGGTTTAAACATCAAACAGGTGAGTGTGGGCAAGATTCTTGCTTGCTGTGCACGTAGATAGCGATGGGGCTCGCCGCACAGAATTCGGCTTAGTTGCAGATGTCAAGCTGAATTGTGTAGTAGCATGATTGAGGGATATTTAGGGCTTAGGTGTGATGTCGGCCGCAGGTGCATCGTGGCCTGCCTCCAACATCTGGTACAAAATACGGCCAACGCCCGAGCATACTCGAGCGTTGAAACGCTCGAGGTGTTTTGCAAAGCAGGCTTTTCGGGCAAACTGCCATGCCAGAGGCGTCAACTGCTTCTTCAACGACAAACCAATGCGCCGTTTCGTCTCTGAAGGAGCTTTGGCAGACTGCTCTCATGTATGCTCGTGTGACATCTCAGATTCAGAGACGTTTGACATGCATTCTGCATGCCATGCAGAGGTGATTCTGTCCCTGCTGGTCCTCGGGCCGACAGTGTTCTGGCTTATCCTGTACTGTGACATTTTGTGACACTTGGCATCTGCACAAAGGTGCAGTTCCGGAGACCTTGCTGGACCCATTGCTGCTGGTACAGCAGCTGGAAGGGCAGTCGGTTGAAGCTGCTTGCCGAGTTGTTGGCAGTTCCAGTCGGTTTTCAATTTTCGCTGTGGGACCTTGCTTGATATCTGCATATCCTTTTTCCATGAGATCCAGGCTCGGCCTCAGCCTACGGGTGGAGGACCTGTCAAAGCATCAAAACATGGTTGATATCGTTCATTCGGCGTCTTTTGAAGTTAGTTTGCGTGCAGCTTTGATGTGCTGATTCGTTGTGCAGTGTCCGGAACAGAAGGGCTTTGGCTTCAGACAAAAGGAGCTCACAGGGCCTTCTCTCTGTGCAGAAAACTCTTGCAGGTGAACTGTTTCGCGTGCCTTCTCAAGCACTGGTGGATGTGATTGTCGGGTTGGTTTCGGTCAGCTCCTCACCTCCGACTTTATCGGACCTTCCTGTCCTGGCTACTGTGGCTCCACCACTTGCCGGTCATCTCCTCGGCCTACTTTCATCCTTTGCGCTTGCCGATCAGGTTGTGGAGGGTTGGCGTGGCTTGACATGGGTCCCTGCATCTGCTGATCGCCGTTTTCAGAGCAAGCCGAGGCTTCCGTGTTTTTAGATGCAGGAGAAGAACCGGGTCCGGGAACAGTCCAAGCGTTAACCCTCTGTTTTTTCACCCAAACTCATTCAGGCGTGAGCTCGCAGGGTCTCAAGCTAAAGTCTGTTGTGAAGAGTCCTTGACGATTTGCATCAAAGTGGTGCCCAGTCGAGACACAGTGTGCATTCATGCGGGAGTGGCTACAGCGGCTACAGAACACGTTGTGGAGCGGAGGACGTTGCTTTCGAAGACTTCGTGTGTCCAGAGAGCCTCCTTTGTCGGAGCCCCGGCATGAACTCAAATGAATTCAAAGAAGGGTTCCGTTTCGTGAGCCTTTAAACGAGTTAGGAGAAGTGCGTGCTACGTGAGTACAATGTTTGAGCATGTCCACGTGAAATCCAACTTTCGACATTTGATTTGAACAGTCCCTTGAGCCTTGAGCAGTGCCCGGTCTCCAAGATGGATAGTGCCAGAAGTGGTTTCCGAACGTGAAGCTGGTGCGTCCGCCCTGTCACATCGAAGATGCTCATCAACTTGTAGCTCGTTGTGTTGCCAGATGTTGCCAGGATTGCTCATGGACATGGTGGACAAGCAGCAAGGCCGTATTCCACCGAACAGCCCACGTGAAACAGCTTTGGATGGGCAGGCTCCTGAGATGTTCGAGAGCAGGTTGACATGGGCGCAGGAAAACATGTTTAACTCTGTGCCACTCGCCTGGGGCTGGGTTGCTGTAACAAAAACCAGTTCCTGACGAAAAGTCCTAGGAGGAGGTAAGTGAGGGCACGTCCACTCTGTTTCGAAAGGGTCGATCAGGGCCAACGGATCAACAAAGTCCATAGGTAGGGAAAGAGGAGATATGTTAGTTTCAAAACCGGCCTTATGCGCGTGTAAGGGAGGTGGGCGGTACAAGGTCCTGGCCAGGTGGGTCGGGTGTTGACGGGGGGAAGGTCCATTGGGGGGGGGGGGGACGCCGATTTATGATCTGCTTCCTTCTGCTGCTAGTGTACCTGAGAAAGCCTCGGCAGATTAACTGTTGGAGACATCGTACACCACTTCTTGCTGAGGGAAGTGGAAGAACTCTTGGAGGATTTGCAAGAGCGCTTGCGAGCTGCCGCAGGCCGATTCAACTCCATGTCTTGTTGTTCAAGTTTGCTACGCTTGCCTCGGCAGGATCTGAAGCTCAGCTGGAGCGCATGTCCAAGAGCCAGCAAGAAGTAACCAGCCAGTTCAACAGTTCAACAGGATCCGCTGACCTTTGTTAGGATGTGACTCGACTATAAGAAGAGCTGAGGTCGTTGCAGCTTCGCCGACTTCCACCATCCAAGGCCGATCCTGTCACCTTGCTTGTCCTGCAATCACAGCCCAAAGCGTGTTTGTGCGAGGCTGGTGATGGAGCACCGGTAATTTCCGGTTCCTCATCCGTGCCTTGTTGCACCTTTGCACGATGATGTGTGAGCTGTCATGTTATCGAAGAGCACAGTCCTGCAGTTGCTGAAAAAACTCGAGCAAGGCCACTGGGAGCTTCCGGGCTGTCTACTTGTTCCTGAATGTTCCGGGACCTATGTGATGTCAGTATGCTGCTAGCTTCGCAGCGACGCAGTTGCTCAGGACATTGCTGATGGTGGAGAGTTGCTGTTTCCGAAGATTCATTTCAAGGCGGAACCATCTGGATGTTGTGTCGGATCCTAAAACCTGGATGTTTAGACTGGCAGGTTCAAGCTCGCAGAGGTTTTGCTGTCGTTTGGAACTGTGGGCAGAGCGCCAGCAAGGCATCACCAGTCTCAGACGCTCATGGAGATGAGCCTGCAACGCGATGATCGGCAGGTACTCGGACAGGATCATCTGGGACTACCGCCCCAGACATGTGTTGCGCTAAGCACTGCCAATCAGATGCAAGTCAGCGTGCCTCAGCGTCAAGCTTGCTCGACCGGCAGTACGGCATGCCGGCAAGATACGACATGCCAGGTGCAAGATACGGTGCGGCCGGTAGCTTTGCAGCTGAGGGGTGAGTCCTCTCGTGCTTGAGTGGTCAAGCGGCTCAAAATACGTGAGATGGCCACCATTTCTTTGGTGATGGTACTTGACCTATGTCAACCCTTACTTAGACTCTGCTTGAGACAGGAGAAACGGCTCAAGCACTAGCAGGCCAATCAAGCTGAGATGAGACATGTTGGATTCCCTTTACGGAAACCTGCTCGGTGCTGGCCTAAGTACTGCGAGTTCGCAAGAGACTCATGATGCCACACGAACATGGATGAGACTCCACGACTGCAAGGCTCCGATGCAGGTGAGGGCGCGACGCAAAAGGAAGATGACATCTTTGCTGCAGACCCTAAGGTTGGTGCCGGGCATGTTTCTGGGTGTCTAAGTCGCCTGATGTGTGCGCAGCTGCAAAGGGGCAATAGGCGTGCCAGCCTCAAGCAGTGACGTGCGATCACTCAAAGTCATGACCTTAATCAATCTAGGGTTCGCAGAGAAGCTACATCCCACTGCAACATGCCACGAAATGCCACTGCATTCTCATGCAAGGTGTACAACAATTCCTAAAGAATCAAAAGAGGTTGCAGCCAATGGCAGCAGCCCCTCGCAATGGGCATCGCTCACTGCAGCTGTGTACAGAAAGAGGCTGATTGTGACTCGGGGCTAAGCCCTGGAGTAACCACAGTTTATGACGACTTGTTGCCTCCTAAGGACGAGAGGGCATTGGAGCAATCTCTGGATGTTCAGAGACGGGAATCCAGTGCCACATTGCCTGCCACGCTTCATGTTAACACAGATGCGGAGCAAGCAATGGAAGATGCAACAGAGAAGGTGGCAACTGGAGAGTCACTGATCGGGGATCAGAATGATCAGAAGTGTCCTGACCAAGATGGCGCAGGAGCTGCACTCAGTTGTGTGGTGCTGTGAAGTTGCATGGAATGATTCGCCAGCACGAGCCAGTCTGTCACGGAGTCACGGGGTCGTCTTTCTTGTTGCCGCGCAGGTGCCATTCCTGATGAGGATCCTCCCTTGCCTCCGCCAGCTCAGCCGCCACCAGCTTCTGAAACTGAGACAGGCCCTGGCTTTGGTCACTTTGGTCACTCCGTTTCAGCCACTTCCGATCCCAAGATACACAAGACACAAGATGCAGCGGTTCCGACAAGCATGCTTCCTGGTCGTCCGCAAGCTGTCCGACTTAGCAGCTCGCACTTCATTTTGAAAACACCGTTGCAGGGGCCATATCCTCAAGGGATGGAGAAATTAATCTTTGCATGTGGGTGCTTTTGGCAAGCAGAAAGGGGTGCCTGGCGACTTCCTGGAGTGTATGCCACGTCAGTGGGCTATGCTGCTGGTTGCACACCGAATCCTACTTATGATGAGGTTTGCAACGAGGGCACAGGGGCCGCTCAGGCTGTGCAGGTGATCTTCGATCCAAGTACCTGGCATCATTTGGCATCCTTTATTCAGCTTTATTCCGTTGATTTTATTTGGATTCCGTGTGTTTCCTTCACCACAACTAAAGTCCGACTGTAGTTTGGCTCATCACAAGCCACTCAGGTACAATTAGTTTGATCGACATCCTGCGATGGTTTTGGGAGTCGCATGATCCGACTGCAGACTGTGCACATTCCGCCGGCCGGACACGTTTCCGTAGCGGATTGTATTATCAGGATATGGAGCAAAGGCAGATCATGGAGATAAGCCGACAAGCATACCAGTCAGTTCTGGAACGCACAGGCAAAGGTTGTCACACCATCACTACCGAAATAGTGGCTGCCGCAAGCTTTCAACATTCGCCTGGTGATGTCTTCTACTTTGCCGAAGAAGAGCATCAGCAGTATTTGGCCAAGCCTGGGGTGCTGGAAGCCTTCTGCAAACGGGAAGTTAAGGGCAGTCTGCAACCACTTGGGATGTCATTGCCGCTGCAACATCTGCGACAGTTCGAACTGCTGGACAAGCACGCGCCTAAGCTGTCAGAGGAGTTTTGGAGGCGATATGCACCAGCCGTCGGCGCCCGAGGCGAATCTCATTGTCTTGCAAGCGCTCGATGATGGTCAGGGAGTTAAAGAGTGCTTGAAAACCGACTGAGGTAGGCCTCATGCATGGTTCCGATGAGCAGATTCAGTGGCTCGTGTGCATTCGTGCGCAATATGGTGTAGGTGCAATTACAAGTCTTTGTCAATGTCTGAGACCTGGTAACAAAGGTGGCCCACTTTTCCATAAGTCCTTGTGGTGGTCCAGCGACTTCTGAGTTTGAAGGGAACGAAAGTCACGAAGTGTCACGTGCTGCAATGCGCTGGCAAAAAATGGTTGCGATTGGTTGCTCAACGTCTCGTCATGAACCTTTCGTCATCTTGTCCTCATTGAATGAGCCAGCCTGGACTGCTGGCACTGGTCGGCGATGCTTTGTGAGCCAGGGAGCATCCCGACCTTCGGGTGGGGGTGCTCAAAGCACTGCAGATCCCGTGGAGAAGCTTCCGGCAGAGAAGAAAGTGGCTGATGACAAGGCTACGGATGGTGTGAGATGCTAGTGATGTTGATTGCGGGTAAGTTTAGATGCAACTCAATGAATGTGTTGTATGGCAAGCAGCTGCACGGCGACGAAAGGTTGAATCCGGTTGAATCTAGCCTGCTATTTCAACGAAGGAAAAGGGGCAGCCGAGCAGCACTCCGTTGCCACAGGCACGGTGGCAGAAGCAGAGCCTTTGACCGTGTTCTGCATGATGGAATCACATTGCAGACATTCTCCGCCGCAAAGCTGATGATGCCGCCTGTGCGGAAGAAGGCTGTTTCGAAGAGACACAAAAAAACGGAGGCCTTCAGAGAGCAGAGCATTGACTCAACGCCGGGTGCAGGTGGAGCCGGCAAGGCGGCCTTCCATGCCAGCCGTGGATCTCTCCAAGCTGGCGGCCGTGCGGATCCCAGAGCCATCAGAGCCTGCAGCATCTTGCAGAACAGCCTGCAGCACACTGCTTGCAGCACACTGCTTGCAGCACGCTGCTTGCAGCACGCTGCTTGCAGCACGCTGCTTGCAGCACGCTGCTTGCAGCACGCTGCTTGCAGCACTGTGCCCAAGTCTGTCAACCGGACAGCACAACTTTCGTGTTGCACAGCTATGCGACGCTTGTCCGCAGGAGAAGGAAGCACTTATGAAGCAGCGTGCAGCCGCAGAGACTAGCAAGGCCACGAGAATCCAGGTGAATGGGCTGTGAGACCCTGAAGTTTAAGTTCGTGGTGTGCCTGGATGACGTGCGAGGCTGTGTCCAGTGTGTCCAGTGTGTTTAGTGCGGCCGCGGCCTTCAAAAATCGCCTGTTTGTTTTTCTCCTCCCTGTTTGCATTTGACGGTTCGGTTTTGCAGTCCCTGAGGCGAAGCCTGTAGAAAGCGAGTCTACTGCAGCGGCCGGTGTCCTGTAGAAGTCCAGTCAGTGCAGCTTGTGATCTTACGATGCAGTCATATTAAGGCTGCCGGAGCGCCGCTGAGCGAACCACTTGCACCTTGCTTGCGCTTTGGATGTTTCTTGATGATTTTTGTGTAGAGGCCTTCCGGCCTCATCGCAGGCTTGAACCCGGAGAAAGCAGAAGTTGATTTTTTTTTTGAAATGTTTCGGTTGCACAGGCATCTCCAGAGACTTCCAAGGGCCCAAGGCAAGGCTCCACCAAGGTCTTTAAAACCTGTCTGCCAGGTATCCTTATCGCAGATGCCAGCAAAAGTTTCGGCAGATTCAGCCCAAGGGTGTGGATTCCGGATTTCCAGACGCCCTATTCAGCCCCTATTCTCCATTTGCTGTCCGAGGCACTTGGTTGGGTCATACACCTCACAAGCACAAGCACCAGGTGAGAAACTGAAACAGACCGCAGCTCCCTGCTCCCAGCCAGCAGTTGAGGCAACGAGTCTGTTCGGTGATCCGAACGAGGAGTGGGTCGGATCGATTGGGCAATTGTTCGCGACCTCTTAGAAACCTGCGAAACCTCCTTTTTTCGAAGCCTGCAAGTCACGTAGCAGGAATATGATCCTGCCAAGCCGAACGACTACGATGAGTTCTGCCGTCGAAGGCCTGTCACACCGGTTGCACATCCTGGTTTTCAACGTGCTAACTGGGTGTTATTCACTGTAATCCAGTATACCAGCATGTCCATGAGGATGAGGCAGAAAGCTGAAGAGGAAATGGAGAAGCGGCGGCAGGCTGCTTGACGAGAGTGTTGTCAGTGTACAAGTCCGCGGAGTTTCATGATCTTTCTGCAAGGAGGCAGCTGCACGGCAGCAAGCTAGCAAGGCACCCCAGGCAAAAGAGGACGGCTCCCCCAGTGTTTGTTGGCGGTTGAAGCCAGTTTCGGTGACTGCCCCCACGGAACACGCAGGATGACTTTGCAACGAAGATGATGAAGAAGATGGGTGCCTTGGCGCTCTCGTGCACGCCATATGCAGTACGCCATGCAATGGTTGGCAACATGCAGTATTCCTCTTTGAAGATATCAGATGACATGAATATGGAGGTTGGAAGGATGGTGCCGGGCTTGGAAAAGAAGGGCAGGGCATGGTCAACCCACTTGTCAGCTTCCCAGACAGTCGATTTGTTCTTTATTTTTCTTTAACTTTCATATTTTTGATCGGCACCGTTGGCCAGGTCATGCAGAAAACTGACCAGAAGACGGGTCGCATAGTTGAGGGCACGAAGCGCGAGGCAGATACCCGCATCTGGTTAGCTGCGCGGCATGCTGCTCATTTCTGGTAGCACCAGCCTCATGCTGCTTTGGTGCAAGGCGGCAGCACAGCCTCCGGGCCAGCCAGACTCGAAGCAGGCCCCTGCTGTAGGGGCCAAAAAAAACGGGCAATGTTGCATTTCATCTTGCAAATTGTCATTTTGAAAGACGTCACGAGCAGCTTTGGGCCCTGCAAGGCCAAAGCGCCTCCGAAGCTGCCACGGGCCAAGCCACGTTTCGGATGTTCATGCAGAGAATGCACTGAGTCTGCGTTCAGCCCTAGAGCTTTAACTTCGCACGCCCGGCCAGGCCACCTACACGTGTTCTGCTTCTGACAAATATGGTCGGTGCTGGAGATGTCGACGAGGTGCGCATGTCCTGCCTGCGATGTACTTGTCTCGAATCAGTGAACATGAGGCTTTGATGGAGATCCGAGTGTTCAATGTTTTTTGTGGACCATCGTGCTTTTTCTCTGATGTATTTTCCGCCCTCTCCCCCCACCGCCCCCAAGCCGACTCTGCCGATGCTGCCGGCTTGCTTCAAGAGGAACGAAGGAAGGTCGATGATGCATGATGTTGCTCGGATCCCACCAGAAGGCTACCTGAGGTGACTCTCATCTCTCCACCTAGGATCATGCTTGCCCCTTATTTGGGTGTTTGGCACCTGAAGGTATTCGATGGGTCTGGATATGTTTCGGGGTCAGGGTGTTTACTGGTTTGGAGAACTACTAGATGTGTAGTGAGATGTACGAAGCGAACCGAATCTTGACAAGATGCGAAAGTTGATATGGAAGCTTCCGTGGACTGGAGGAATTTGAAATAAAGCCTTGGCCAAGAACGGTTTGCAAAAGGGAGCTCCGGCCATGCAGGACCTTCAAGAGGAGACGGCCGAGGAGGCCAGCAAATATGGCAAACTCAAGAAGCCAAGCACTTACTCGCTTTGTGCTGTTTTGGCAGCAAGCCTTTGAGTTCCGTGGCTCTTCAGACGATAGTGCTTGCAGCATCTCGGCGATGCTGCCACGGTGTCCAGACAGGGTGCCATCGTGCGATGCAGTTTGACCCCTGCAACTGACCCTCTCGAGCCTGGAACTGCAAGTAACCTCACGCAACCAAGGTGTGTGATCAAAGAACTCAAGGGTAAGCCCGATGACCAGGCAATCGGAATATTTTCGTTCGCCTGAAGAAGTAATTCATAATCGGCAGAGATAATGTCTGTCAGGCAGTTCGAATTTTCCTCGAGTATGAGGATGTGGCTGCTGCCACGAAGGCCTGTGTACACTATGCCCATATGCTAGCAATGTGCTCTACATTCTTGCCCTTCTGTGGCAGCTGCTGGTTTGCCTTGCCCGTTTCATCCAGTTTCAGGCCTTCGCAGACATGAATGGGCGCTACTTTGGCGGGCGTGTCGTGAAGGCTTGTTTCTTCGAGGAGGCCTTGTTCTCCCAGGCGCAAGCCGTCTTGCTGCACACTAGCACTTAAAAGGCTTTAACAGGGGTGTTCTCATGTCTGATCCCTGGAGCAGGGGCAGCTGGAGGCTGCATGACCATGTGAGATGGCGTTTCGAGGGCATCGTTTACGGTGATTGGTGCGCTTTTGATTAGTTTGATGTTGCAGCTTGGCTCTCACATGTTTCACTTGAGCAATTAGGCAGGTTGGGAGAGGGTAGAAGAACAAACGCTGTGTGCGTCAGAAACAATGCCGATATGACATCTTTCTTTTTTCATGCTGCAGTAGTTTCAGCGCAAATGGAGCCAATGGTGGGATCTGCTGGATGCTTTCGTAGCATTGCGGCTGTCGTACTTAGTTTCAAGTTTTAGATGACAGACGAGATGGTGCATGGGCAACAGAGGGTAAGTACCAGATCAGCTTTATGTACTCACTGCTATTCGCTGCTCACTGCAGCCATATAATCGAATCGTCAGTGAATCGTCTGCAAAGTCTTGACAACACAGCAGAATTACAAATTGGATTCGGTCGGGAGTCTCCAGGCAGAGGCCTGGCACGCATGCTTGGTTGGAGTGACATCCGTTTTCTGTCCCGCGCTCTAAGGTCCCCAGGTGTGGTCATGGGAAGTGGGAAATCCAAGGAGGAGACGGTCAAGGAGAAGGCCCCCCTTCCATTCCTTTTGGCGAAGAGAAGCGTATATAGAAAGTTTTCAGAGCCTCTTTCTTTTGGTTACTTAGAGCACTCTCATCAAAAGCGCAAAAGTTCTGCTGGCCTGGTTGGAAAGTGCTTTCTCCGAACCGTTGAGGCCCGAGACTGGCAGAGGCAGATCCGCGGCGAGTCCCGGCGAATCGACCGGGACATCTCGCGGATGCGCTTCGTCCTCAGTCTGAAAGGTCTCAACTGGCTTCGGCTGCCACTTGGTGACACGGGTCAGGTCAGGAAGAGGAGAAGCTCAAGAAAGAAATCAAAACCATGGCGGAAAAGGGTCAAGCAGCGAGTGCCGGCTCCTCGAGAGGATGTGAAGATTGCGAAGGGTGCTCTTGGAGTCTTTTGGATCTACTTCAACAGAGCCCTGAGCAGATCCGGTGCTTGCATGCTGTAATGCGCTGTTGGAAGCGCGGGGAGTGAAGGGCGCGCTCGTGCGCCAGGGACGTGCGTGCCGGCACAGTCTGGACCGGAGAGACGCGCGGCCAAAACTTCTTAAAGCAGAAACGCAAGCTCATTTTTTCATATGTGAGACCGGGGAATTGGTTGGGCAAGGGTCCGTGCTTGGACTTCTTGTGTCATCCGACCAGAGACACATATGTTTGAGAAAGTGAAGGGCGCGCCATGACGCTGGAGGTCAAGACCTTGGCGAGGCAGGTTGTGCGATCCAGGAAGGCTGTTGCTCGACTCGAGAGGCTGGATTTGACAATTTCCATGGCTCTGACAACTCCGGGAGGCGGTGCAGTGTGGTTGATGCCTGCTCATCTAAGCCTGACAGGACAAAGTGTTCGATGTCTGCAGTGAACCTGCACCTCACTACAGTCCAAGCCTCACATAGTCCAACGGTGTACTGCACATTCAGAAAGCGACAGTAGCACCTTCCCAGGCAGTCGCATCAATGTCCACGGCCAGTGCTCTGAAAATGTCCAGTGGGGTGATGAAGGAGATGAACAGGCCAGATTTACGAAGAGCTACTGGCTCACTCCGACCTCACTTCGACTACATTCGACTTCTCTCTCCAGGCTCATGAATGTTCCCGAGCTGCAGCGGACGATGGAGGTTGGGATGCAGATGTTGCGGTAATGGGTATGTGCCATGCGGGTGCTCCGTAGAGAAAGAAAGCTGATCGCAGTTTTTTGCAAGGCCGCCCCATGGCAGCCCCGTGCAGGACATGCGCCAAGAGATGATGCGTGCGGAGATAGCAGACGAGATGATGGAAGAAGGCCTGTAGTCATATTGTAGTCTGTTGAAAGTTGAGAATCTACACAGTTATCTACACAGTTCTGCCGACTCAGGGTTTCAAGAGTCGGATGACGAGACTGAGATAGACTCCGCCGTGGCCAGAGTGTATGAGGATGGGCTGAGAGAGCAGTTCTCTTTTTTTTGATAAGTGGCAACACACGACTCACAAGACTGGGAGGAACTTGCACTGGACAAGTCGCAGCTGCTGGACACAGGAGCGCAACATGGCGCACCACAGCACAACGTAGAGCGGAACTGAGTGGTCTCTCCACATTTCTCGGACTGTTCAAGCCCACATACGCCCTGATGCACACATGCTTCCATATGCTTCCGATGCCGGAAGGAGCTGCGACAGCGGCTCCGGCCCCCGTCGCCACTCCTGCCCCGGAAGCGGAGGCAATGGGCAAAACATCTCAAAACATGGCAGAATCACTTCATTTGGCACGTCTTGGGAAGATCCCCTAGTGTCGTGCTCAGGACCCACTGATGCAGCGGCTGCAAGCACTGCAAAGGCACGGGCCATTGCCAAGACCCGACCTGAAGTGGTTGCAAGATGTTGCAAGCTTGGCTTCTTGCAGGGCATAGTTTGTGGCCAGGTGACTGCGTGAAGTTTCTGTACCTTTTGCTAAGATGTCTGAGATTGATGGAGTCTGATTGCAGAACGCGAAGCGTTACTGAGCCTGAGCCTGTGCACAGAGTTTGGGAGAGGACAATGTCAGACTGGCTAGCTTGTGATAGCTTGCCAATGCGATGTTAGGACAGTGCCTTTGGCCCCGTGCTGTCTTTAAGCAACCTGCCACTTGGGCACCTGCTGCTTTTATGCACGTGATCCTCAGAGCGCACAGAGTGGGGACAAACAATGGGGCAGAAGATGCGGACTGTTGTGTATTGAAGTGCAGTCAGAAGAACACTTATGCAGCATGAGGGAGACAGGGTAGGGATTGTGATGATTTCCCGCATCCTACCTTGGCAAGTGTCAGTCTAGGGACTCATGACTGGCTCACGTGTGGGCTACCGTTTCATCGGAAAGAACCTATCGTGGGTTTTTATGGGTTTTTGTCATCGTGGGAGCGCGGGCAATGTTTCGACCAGTCGAGTCAAGCAATTGCCAGCAATGTGTCAGGAAGTCCGTGTAGTGCTGAGAAAATTTGAGAATGTATCAGGTCAGAAGCACTGCAGAAAATGGCAGACCGTAAGGCGGTCAGGGGACTGGCCGTAGGGTGTCAGAGGACGTACAGGGAACTCTGCCCGGGTCCTGAAGGTTGGTTGCTGTCTCGCAGAGCACGAACCGACAGTAAAATAAAAGGAGTTCGATGAGATATGATGAAGGCAAAGAAAGAGGAGCCGCGGCAAACATGGCTCCAGCGAGTCTTGAACACAACCGTTTCTGAGCATTTTTTTGCTGTGTTGCCGAGTGCCAGGGACGTACTTGTAAAATTATAGCCCGACCCAACCGCGGACAGGGATGTAGTCACATGAGCATCATAGCCCATGCCGAGATCGTCCACCATGGCAGCGGCCTGATGATGACCTACTCCAAAAGCACAACATCTAGCAAAGGCACTGAGGCTGTTCTATGCTGATGCTATGCTGTCACCAGCGCGGGGACCAAGGCACAACATTGACAAACCAGCATCGTCCCACTGCTTGTGCTCATAGGAATGTAGGCAAGAGTGCGGGATGCCAAAACTTGTTCCCGAAAACCCTTCTGGGGTTGGGTTCTCGTTTAAGTGCTTCACTGTGGAAGGCGCGATATTGGATCGTGTTCTGACGGTAAGAGGGTGCGGGGAGGGTGATGCGGAGGAGAGGGTGCAGAATGAGGTTGACCGGAGACAGGCGCACAGAGGGCGGGGACAGGGGCGAAGCGCGGAGGGTGCGGGGGAGGCGGAGGAGGGCTTGGACAGGCCTCCGCACGCCAAACCTCCGCGACAAACCCGTCCTTGCAACCATCTTGTGAACTTGGGCGCCCGCGACAAGCCCACGACATAAGTATGACACAACGGGGCACGACAAACTTATGTAACAGAGGCGGGGGGCGGGACATCACGACATACCCTTATTGAAATCACAGCCATATATCCAGCTGGGGGGAGCGCGATATGTGGTTGAAGGGAAGGGCGCAGGGGGGCAAGGCAGTGTAGCGACACCCGGCGCGAGGAAGGGGGGAATTCCAGGGAGCTGGGAAAAGTAAGGGAATGCGATATCCGGTTGAGGAGGGGGGTTGGACAAGTGTGTGGCGCTGCCCGGTTGACAGGGGGGGCGGGGGCATTTGGACAAGGGGGAGTGACATCCGGTTGATGGGCATGAGAGGCAAGGGGTCGGACAGGAATGGGGGGGGTTCGGACGGAATGTCAACGGGGCATGGAGGTGTAAGGGAGGTGTCGCGGCATCTGTATATCGGTTGACGGGCATGGACAAGAGAGCGATGTCCGCTTGACGGGAAGTTGGGCAAGGGGATGGAGGTGTGGACACGGGGGTGGAGCGCGATGTCGGGTTGGCGTGGGGCCACCGATGCAACGCACAGTCCTGGACCATAGCATGCTGTTTCGAGGCTTCGAGTGTAGAGTGTAGCGTGTTTTGGGCAGGGTCATAACCGACAGACTGAGGGCTTCTGTGTGTGATCTCACCACAAACAGGATCCGCCTTGTCGAATGCGGCCATCTCGGAGCAAGCACCCGCCCTTCTGGTCGAGCTGGCACGCACGTGCAATGGGCATCGACGCCCACAGGGTACCTTGACGCGACTTAGGGCAGATGGATATATGTAGACATAATTAGACATATATATATATATATACATGTGGATTTTTGCATATATGTGTACATTATATGTATATGTGTATATGTATATATATATACATATATATATATATATGATTTTCGGTATATGTATATATGTATATATGTATATATGTATATATGTATATATGTATATATGTATATATGTATATATGTATATATGTATATACGTATATATGTATATATGTATATCTGTTTATATGTATATATGTATATGTGTATATGTGTATATATGTATATATGTATATATGTTATATGTATATATGTATATATGTATATATGTATATATGTATATATGTATATATGTATATATGTATATATGTATACATGTACATATGTATATATGTATGTATACATGTATATAGGTATATAATATATGTATGTCATATGTATATAATATGTATATTTGTATTTAATACGTATACATGCATATAATATGTATACATGTATATAATATGTATACATGTATATAATTTGTGTATATGTATATAATATGTTTTTATGCACATCATATGTATGTATATAAAATGTATATATGTGTATAATATGTACATATGTATATCATAGGTATATATGTATATAGGTGTATATGTGTATATATGTTTTTTTTTAAATGTGTTCTGTATACATGTATATGTATGTGTACAGATTATTATATGTTATGTACGTATGAAAATATGTATATGTACGTGCGTACGCATATGTATATACGTACATGTACACGTCTACGTGTACCTTTCTGTATATGTATATGTATGTGTATACGTATACGTGTACCTATACGTATATAGTCATCCTTGTACACATAGAATTTGGGTTTCGGGTTATTTTGGGGGATTTGAGTTGTTTCACTTTTTTGGGGAACCCATACATAGAACATTTGGAACCCATACATAGAATAATTGCGAGAGCATGTTTAAGACAGCTTTGGGCGCCCGTTTGAGGGCCTCCTGCAGGCCTCTTGGCGTCTTGTTTTCTTGGCCCTCGGGTCTTCTTTGGGAGCTCTGTTCAGGCACCCATAGACAAATTACAACTGCATGTGGGTTGTTTCCGGAACCCCACGCCGTCCTGCCAGCCATTTTCTCTCAGCAGTCAGTTCCTGCCAACCCACTTCTTTCCATATACATATACATATGCATATGCATATGCATATACATATACATATACGTATAGGCATCGTCAAGTAGATACAATTTCGAAATTCCGACCAGAAAACGTGACTGCTCTATGCTATGTATATGTACATGTATATGTGTATGTGCATGTATATGTATATGTATATGTATATGTATATGTATATGTATATGCATATGTATATGTATATGGATGCACATAGCTTTTACATATATGTATATTGCTATATATGTATGGACATACTATGAGTTTTCCTGTTCAAAGTATTTTGATGCAGCAACCAAACCTCTCAGGCAGTGGGTGAGGGTCTTCTCGACAACCGCTATAGCTCCGAATCGGCAGCGAGACAAGTCTCTTGGACAACAATTTTTGCAAAGTGCAACATGCTGGAACATGTGGAACTGGTGCGGTTCGGCAAGTAACAATCTTTTGGTGCATGCCCATATGTAAGAGACGCCTAGGTCACGTGTTGAAAACAGCTTGGGTCTGGCCGAGTTTGGGGACGCTTGGACTGAATTTTACAGCACGAATTCCGGGCTGCCGATTGGAAGGGGCTATGACCGCGTGGTATACGGTGATCATGGTCCATATGTAGAGTTTTCGGCGCATCAGCTTTGCTGGCCAACCTTCCCTGCCTTTATGGAGAAGCCAGAGATGAGCTTCTTTGATGAGTACTACACAGCAGATGGTGCAACCATGCTGTATGCACAGAAGCGGACCGTTGTTAACAAGCCGAACCCTCCCAACGGGCCTTGGTCTGCACAGAACAACAGACCTGAAGGCTACGCGAACTACCTAATAGGGAAGTTCTATCTGGCTTGTGAGCCGGACATCATCACAGTGAGCCGACCTAGCACCAAGCCCAGGCGGAAGAAGCGAGGGAAAGGAGCAGAAGCAAATCCGTTCGAGGACGAGGGTGGTGACGAGGGTGGCGAGGGGGTTGAGCGGGTGGAGGGTGCGGAGGGCGTTGACGACGCACCTTGTTTCTCCGCCTCAGACACCTGGCCAGAAGATGTTTGGTTCCAGAGTCGAGATTGGCATTGGCGAAAAGAGGACTGGGAGTGGCAAGCTTTGGGTCCATGGACAGAGAACTGGTTCGGCGATGTCCAAGCTGATCATGGGGCTTGGCCGTATGCTCAAGTGGATGCTCCGGTCGCCCACCCCGATTCCCACCCCAATGCCCACCCCGAAGCCCACCTGGACGCACACCCGGACGTCCACCCGGACGACCACCCGGACGCCGACACGTAGATCAAAAGCGTAACAAAGGCAGTTTGCCATGATGCTGAACTTGCGGAGACTGACATGTAGATTTAAACATAAGTCATGATGCGCTCGAACCCCGGATGCATTTATGCTCTGCAGGGGCTTAGATAGTTCCACTGAGTAGCTGCCTTCAGATTCGGACTGGACCACCAGGTCAGGCTACCAGGCTCTCAGCTGCTGTCAAGCCGCTGTGTTTTTCTGTGCTCGGTTGGCCTTGTGTGCAGGTTTCAACGGCTTCAACCGTTCAACCGCCGGCATGTCGCTCATGAAGCGTGGCGGGTGCGGCGGCTTCGTGCTTTACAAAGTTACGCAGTGCGAAGCTCTCCAAGTCTGAGTGTCACTGAGACCCATTGATGTTCTGGGAGTAAGCTCTGTGTACCACAGACTTGCCCAGACTTGCCCAAACTTGCCAGGTTTTTGCTCCTCTTGATTCTGTTGATCGTCATAACAGTTGCTGCGACGACGACAAAGTGCGCACTGCTGCTTGAAGATCCTTGAATGATAGTTCTGATCGTTCGAATTCCAGCCTGTGGCGGTAGACTCGAATGCTGGGTAGCTGAGATCATACTGTTGCGAATGTCACGTCCAATACTTGTTTGTTGGAAGGTACTGGACCCACTGGCTCTCCATAACAGTCATGGTGGGCGCGATGCTTGTGGTGGACGTCATGTTCCTGGATGACAGGCAGCCGAGCTTGTTTGTTGAGTATCCGCTACACAAGTTTTGACTTCTTGATACGCTCCTTCGTCATTGTGATGCGTGACAGTTCGTTCGTATTCGATCCCTTCCTGGACGTGCAGAAGATGTGAGAAGGCCAACGCGTATGTCCATGTATCGAATGCTGAGGCTGCTTGTCCCTGTCACGTATTGGTGTCAGGTGTTAGATGATGTTAGGAGAGGCATTGAACACAACCTTTATTGAATAGCGGTTTCTGCTCGAATCAAATGACGTAGGTCAAACCAGTGAGTGCTCAGCATCGAATGGATCAGTCCGCTTGTGTTCGCTACAAGCTCCATGGGTGGGGGCCTGCCCCCACTGCTTTAGGATGCGCAAGCCAAAGTATATGAGCCTTTTTGTGAAGCCCATCATGCGAGCATTGATTGTCCTTGCATATGGGGCGCACCCCCCTCCCCACCCCCCTGCTTTTTGAGCTGTGCATGCTTGCATGAGTTTGTTATGCACAAATGGGGGGGGGGGGGCTGGGCACACCGCCCCCCCCCAAACCACCCCGTGCAAGCTTGCTTCACTCCTCGCTGGTTTACGCTGTGCAATCTTACTTCAAAGAATATGAGTCCTTTTGAAACCCATCATCCGAGCATTGTGTTTGCAACTTCGGGCGCAACCCCCCCCAAGCCCCAAACCCCCCAAGCCCCCGCTTGTTTAAGCCGTGCAAGGTTGCTTTAAAGCATATGACACATGAGTTTGAAACCCATCATGCGGGCATTGTGTTTGCAAAGTGGGGGCGCCCCCTCGCATTTTTCAGGCCGGAGTATGAACCTTGTCGGAACCCATCATGCGAGCATGGTGTTTGCCACCGGGGCTACACCTCCCAACCCCCCGATGATGCGAGCATTGTGTTTGAAAGTGCCCCCCCGAACCCTCCGGTTTCCTCAGCCGTGCAAGTTTTTTCAAAGAAGAATATGAGTCTTCTTGAAACCCATCATGGGCATTGCGTTTGCAAATAGGGGGTGGCTGTGCCCCCCAACCTTCCCGCTTATGAGAACATCGGGAATATATACTAGAGGTTTTCGCATTTAAACATGGAGAAAATTCAGGTTATCGAGAAAATCGAGGTTTTCCTATGAGAATATGTTTTCCTATTGGAATATCGAGAAAAAGAGATTTTCCTATGAACAGAGCGATTAGAGGACGCACCCCCAAGCGCACCACCAGAAAGAGGCCCGAATAACACTCCACCCGTTCCCACATGTTGTTTGTCACAGGTGGTGAGACGCGTTGTCAGTTCTGAGTGCTGTGAGTGCCCTACACATTAGAGGGTGGCCCACCAGCTCAAAGGCTGCAAGGAGCAGACAAAAAATAAAAGAAGAACACCGAAGCATAGCTTTGCTTCCGTTGTAGCCTGGAAGATCGTCGTTTACGATGCAATGAGCGAGTGGAAGCATTGCCTCCGTATTCAAAACCTGACGCACTGAGTGTGTATGGGGGCCTATGGTGGCCCCGTGGCTATGGGCCGCCACTTGTCCCGGAGGCAATTGCACACGTGTGCAGTACAGACGGCCTCGACGCACAAAGTACTTTAGGATTCAGGTGAAGTTTTAGCTGGCATGTTCAAGTCTAGCCAGCGGTTCCGAGCAGGAAAGTGCGAGTGTACACAATCTGATATTTCGGAGCTCTGACCAATCGTCAGATGCAGTCTACGAAGGCAGGCAACCCAATGATCCATTGGTCGGTGGAAGGGCAGGGAGCAAAAAGGCCGTGCAAATGAGGCAGTGTTTGCTGAGTCCGTATCCGAGCAATTTTCAAGATCTGTCAGACGTTTGCAGGTTCTTTCCAAATCCTGATTCCGTTGTATGAAGATGTCTTCCGTGAACGGATGGAAGCCGAAGCTTTCACTCGTGATTTACAATCTGGCAAGTCTGGCGACTTCAGGGCTGGTGAGCTAGCATGAGCTAGTGCCCTGGAATGAGATGCAATGAGTGAGTGGATGTGAGCAGTAGCATCATGGCGTGGGTTTTCGTGATGGTATTTAAATGTACTTTGTGGTTAAGGTCCCATCAGTGTGTGGCACGGCAGGCTCCACGACACTCCGACCCCACAGCGACATAAACCACATGTCTCATAATTAAACATGAGCAGTAGAAAGGTGAGATGTAGCTGATGTAACGAGCAGAAAGGCCAACAGGATCCCAAGACAAGCTCAAATACTTCCTGCTCCAATGTGCTCCTTGGTATGTCTCCGCTCGTCACCGCCCTGTGTGACTGATTCTGCTGACCACTCCCCAGACCCAAAACCATGAGACGATTTCATACACAGCCCACGTTGAGCCGTGGGTGACCAAAAGCTTCCTGGATTCCTGGACTTTGTTTTGGACGAGGCGTTTCAGGCTTGTGGGCATTGGGTGACATGGCGTCCAGAATTTGTACAGGCTAGGTTGTTTTCAAGGACCCGTTTTATTTTATTGTGTTTTTTTAAGTATCCCAAGGGTTTGCAACAAAGGGTGGTGTCGGTTCTGCCACGTAACAGGGCCGTAATTTCGACAGACGGGCCTCCAGCCAACCCAGTGCCAACATCAGCCTCAAAAAGACACCAGACGGACTCCGGATGCCCGACCAGCCATGGTGTAGGCTTGAGATAGCTTGAGCATAGCCAACACCAAACCACGCCTGGCAAGGCCCTGGGACCTCAGAACTCTGACCTAGGACAAGCTGATTGTGCAAGAATCGTTTTGCCCCTCCCGCATGCCGAACCAACAGAACCAACAGAACCAACAGAACCAACAGAACCAACAGAACCAACAGAACCAACAGAACCAACAGAACCAACAGAACCAACAGAACCAACAGAACCAACAGAACCAACAGAACCAACAGAACCAACAGAACCAACAGAGCCAACAGAACCAACAGAGCCAACAGAGCCAACAGAGCCAACAGAGCCAACAGAGCCAACAGAGCCAACAGAGCCAACAGAGCCAACAGAGCCAACAGAGCCAACAGAGCCAACAGAGCCAACAGAGCCAACAGAGCCAACAGAGCCAACAGAGCCAACAGAACAGAGCCAACAGAGCCAACAGAGCCAACAGAGCCAACAGAGCCAACAGAGCCAACAGAGCCAACAGAGCCAACAGAGCCAACAGAGCCAACAGAGCCAACAGAGCCAACAGAGCCAACAGAGCCAACAGAGCCAACAGAGCCAACAGAGCCAGAGCAGAGCCAACAGAGCCAACAGAGCCAACAGAGCCAACAGAGCCAACAGAGCCAACAGAGCCAACAGAGAGCCAACAGAGAGCCAACAGAGCCAACAGAGCCAACAGAGCCAACAGAGCCAACAGAGCCAACAGAGCCAACAGAGCCAACAGAGCCAACAGAGCCAACAGAGCCAACAGAGCCAACAGAGCCAACAGAGCCAACAGAGCCAACAGAGCCAACAGAGCCAACAGAGCCAACAGAGCCAACAGAGCCAACAGAGCCAACAGAGCCAACAGAGCCAACAGAGCCAACAGAGCCAACAGAGCCAACAGAGCCAACAGAGCCAACAGAGCCAACAGAGCCAGAGCCAGAGAGCCAACAGAGCCAGCAGAGCCAGCAGAGCCAGCAGAGCCAGCAGAGCCAGCAGAGCCAGCAGAGCCAGCAGAGCCAAGAGCCAACAGAGCCAACAGAGCCAACAGAGCCAACAGAGCCAACAGAGCCAACAGAGCCAGAGCCAGAGCCAGCAGAGCCAGCAGAGCCAGCAGAGCCAGCAGAGCCAGCAGAGCCAGCAGAGCCAGCAGAGCCAGCAGAGCCAGCAGAGCCAGCAGAGCCAGCAGAGCCAGCAGAGCCAGCAGAGCCAGCAGAGCCAGCAGAGCCAGAGCCAACAGAGCCAACAGAGCCAACAGAGCCAGAGCCAACAGAGCCAACAGAGCCAACAGAGCCAACAGAGCCAACAGAGCCAACAGAGCCAACAGAGCCAACCAGAGAGCCAACAGAGCCAAGAGCCAGCAGAGCCAGCAGAGCCAGCAGAGCCAGCAGAGCCAGCAGAGCCAGCAGAGCCAGCAGAGCCAGCAGAGCCAGCAGAGCCAGCAGAGCCAGCAGAGCCAGCAGAGCCAGCAGAGCCAGCAGAGCCAGCAGAGCCAGCAGAGCCAGCAGAGCCAGCAGAGCCAGCAGAGCCAGCAGAGCCAGAGCCAACAGAGCCAACAGAGCCAACAGAGCCAACAGAGCCAACAGAGCCAACAGAGCCAACAGAGCCAACAGAGCCAACAGAGCCAACAGAGCCAACAGAGCCAACAGAGCCAACAGAGCCAGAGCCAACAGAGCCAACAGAGCCAACAGAGCCAACAGAGCCAACAGAGCCAACAGAGCCAACAGAGCCAACAGAGCCAACAGAGCCAACAGAGCCAACAGAACCAACAGAGCCAACAGAGCCAACAGAGCCAACAGAGCCAACAGAGCCAACAGAGCCAACAGAGCCAACAGAGCCAACAGAGCCAACAGAGCCAACAGAGCCAACAGAGCCAACAGAGCCAACAGAGCCAACAGAGCCAACAGAGCCAACAGAGCCAACAGAGCCAACAGAGCCAACAGCCAACAGAGCCAACAGAGCCAACAGAGCCAACAGAGCCAACAGAGCCAACAGAGCCAACAGAGCCAACAGAGCCAACAGAGCCAACAGAGCCAACAGAGCCAACAGAGCCAACAGAGCCAACAGAGCCAACAGAGCCAACAGAGCCAACAGAGCCAACAGAACCAACAGAACCAACAGAACCAACAGAACCAACAGAACCAACAGAACCAACAGAACCAAACAGAACCAAACAGAACCAAACAGAACCAACAGAACCAACAGAACCAACAGAACCAACAGAACCAACACCCCAAACCTGGACTTCCATTCCTTATCATTCCTTCGACAGTCACAGGGCGCCGCAGAGTTCGACCAGTCCTGTGCCTGAAAGACTTCGCATCGCACGGTGCGTGGCTTCGGCTCAATTCTCTCAATGAACAGGAGTACAGTACAAAGACACTTCATAGTCTATCGTCTAGCCATTAGTCTAGGTCCTTGTCAGCTCTCATATGTTCTACCAGTTCATTGGGTTATGCTTTGGAACTTAACTTTCCCAAGCCCGAACACATTCAAAGACACGGAGATGATGTGAAGAAACTTCTCCAACACAAGCAAGATGTTGTGCTTGAAGTTCGATTGCCTCAATGCCGCGTAGCACCTAACTAGCCTAACACTAAGGCAGCTTCACAGCACCAGAGTTTACTTGGCGTTGTTTTTCAGATGCCATGTGTGATGTCCTCGGGCCACCCTCCTTCGTTTGTCCTTTCCAGCGCTACCATGTGTACAGGCGCGCACACACAATAAAATGCCCTTGGCTGCCGTCCTGGTGATGGCCAGAATGTGCTGACGGAGAGTGGGAATGAAGAAGACGTCTTCGCAAGTAGCTTCCCACCTTGTCGAGATCTTCGTGCATCGTATGTACATGCAGGAGCAAGAGCGCAGTTTTCGTCTTCGGAATTGACAAGGCAGATCCAAGTGTTGTGCTGGTCGTATTTACAGCTTCGCCGTTTCTTTTTCATGAATACCGAATGCGGCCTGATTCCCGACATCGCCCTCCAGTCCCGTTTGCGTGATGCATGTTGTGATGACGGAGGTTCTCGGCATGAGGCTTGACATCCGGGTTTTAACTGTCACGAGTTCCGTTCGAAACCCATTGCAAGTTACGAGTATCCCTAAATCAGGATTTTGGGGTTCGGGGATGGCTGGGGCTGGACAGGCCTCAAACAAATGCAATGGAGCACTCGGATCCTCGGACACAGGGTGTTACTGTATGTTATGAAATCTCATTATCAGGTATCTCTTAACAAGTTCGCGTGAGGTAAGCTTACGTGCAAGGACAGGATCAGGGATGTAGAAAGGTTCTTCGATGACAGTCCCCCTATTCTCCTCATGTTTGACTTGACTGCTACCTACAGCACTGACAGTTTTGGAAAAACAACAAGCAATCTCGCCCTGACTTTGTTTAAATGTTGAAGCCCACAGGTGATCAGAATGAAGCAACAAGCCGATCCCGAAGTGCTGATGGCACCCTGATCCAACATCTGAGGGGCGGCGAAAGACAGCGAGACCCAATAACTTCCCCAAAGCATCCCAGTGTCCCCAGTCCTTTGCAACAAACTTTTTCATTCTTACCAAAAGAGGAACGAGTCACGACAGCCGGGGGCTGCCTTGGAACCCACACCGATTTCGCCTCCCAACCAACAAAGTCCAAAGCTTGCAGGCCCAGAACACCCAAGTGACACATCCGGGACTGAGTCTTGTTGGTTGAGTGTGAAATGCAGAAAACTTGGCTGCGGTTCTCAAACCGGGATGGAGTCTCGGAAGCCCTGAAACCGCTGTGGGCGTAAGGGGCTTTCGGGGCTCTCACTTGGGGGGCAAAAAGCCCAATTGCGAGAGCCCCAATCCCTGATGCCCACTCGACACCTTAGATGTCAAAACCCAAATTCCTCTCGCATGAGTTGCATCCAGACGTGTTTAGTCACAAAAGGTACAAGTGAAAAAGGCACAGATCACTCAAGCTCATGAGAAACCAACATAACATGAGGGGATGGACCAGGGAATGTGGTTCGGTGGGGTGGCTGCTCCGGCCAGACAGCTGTATTGTCTGCATCCGCTAGGCAAGTGCACAGCGCATGCCACTGCAAGATCCTGCTCGCCAACCGCACAATGAAAAAAACAACAACAACCTCCCGCTCAGCATGGTGCTGGATCACAGGTACAGAAGGAGTATAGCTGCTTACAGATCCCCAAGCAGGAGGCCTCGGCCACCACGTTGGATATCACGGCATGTCACGGCGCACGGCTTTCTGCATCCAGGACTCGAACTCGACACTGGAGCTTCGTGAAGGTCTTGGCATGTCTTGGCATGTCTTGGCATTCAGAGACCGAGACCGGCTGCGCAGTGGCATCAGAACACGTGCAGGAGAAGAACGCCATGAGCTTGCAGGTTTACAAGCCCGAGTCGCTGACTTGAGGCCATGCAGTTAGTATAGTTGGTAGATGTTGAGAGAGTTGCAACGACACGAGCGTACATGAATAAGTAACAAGTTGCCGTAGGTTTAGTTTGCCTTTGGATGAAGCCGTTTCACATAGTTTCGCATATGTTTCGTTTGTGGAGATCTAGGTTTGCATAAGCTTGCACCTTGGAGCTAGGTTCGTGATGCATGAATCCATGGTGCAAGCTAATATTGCGCAAACAGTTGTGACACCATAAGGGGTCCGAACATGCAGAATAAGCGAGGGGGCCCTGCCTTTTTCTCGAAGCCTGCTGTCTTCTTGGACGAAAAATCGCGCTCTCGCCTAGGCCTTGGTGCGGGAGCGCGCGTGCGCGCGCGCTCACGCTTGCTGTCCTCGAAACAGCCATCGCTTCTTTGCTTCTGTGTTCGCGAAGGCACAGAGCAGACAATAGTCGAAGAGAGGGGGTTGCAATCCGTAAAAGGAAAAGTTGCACTGACATCGATTGGTCCTGCTCCAGCACAGAGAACCTCGTCTCTTTCAAACGCCTTCTACGCTTCAACCCATCGCGATTCTCGCGCCTCAGCAAGTGTGTTGGCCGTCGGTCTTTCTTGGGCTGTTAGCCGGCTTCATGGCTTCGCATTGGCACGTGGAGGCGACCTCGCCTTAATGAGCCTGCGGCTCTCAGCCTTTGAGGCCGAGGTGCACGGCATATTGCACGGCCGTGTTTTGTGGATCGCGGTGGAGATAGGGCCAGCAGATCGGGGTTGCCGCCGTCGGCCGGGAGATTGCATCGTTTTTGCCCAGGGCCACCCACGGAAGGCCAATCGGCTTCTTTGGGGCTCGCTACTGGGTTGTGACTAAAGACTTTTTTTGGGGTGGGTTGTAGACCCTGTGCGTGTCGTGTCGCGAGTTGGTGGCTGCAAAGCTTTGGTCGCCCTGGCGTCTGGGGAGGACAATCGAGGACATCTCCGCCGTCTATAGAGCTGGAGGAATCGCAGCTTCTATATGCCCGTTGCACCTTTCGGGGGTCGGCATGTGTCGCTTCGGCAGAGCGTTCAAACACGCCGTGTGGGGGCAGGGTCAAGAAAACATCACGTTAAGCGTCAAGTAAACATCACGTTAAGACTTCAGTGTGCATCCATCCCCAGTTGAGCCTCTCCCAGACTATCCGCTATGCAATTTTGGGGGCCGCAACCCCTAAACAACCCCTAAGCCCTCAACACCTAAATTGTCTGGGCCTTGCAGCCCCAAAAACACAACCTAAACCCTAAACCTATATGTTTGGTTTATACGAGCAAACCCTGAGGAGTACCGAAGACTGTCCCTAAACCCTGAACCCCAAACCCTGAACCCCTAAACCCTAAACTGTCCTAGACACTGAAGGCCAAGCCCTAAAAACCCTAAACAGCCCCTAAACTCCAAACACCTCAATTGTCTGGGCCTTGCAGCCCACAAGAAACCCAGAACCAGTCCCGAAACCCCTAAACCTCGAAACCCTAAACCCTGAAAGTGTCATGTTTTGTAAAAGAACAAGCAAACCCTGAGGAGTACGAAAGAATGTCCTCAATCCTAAAAACCGCAAACAGCCCTAAACCCCTAAACCCAAAATCCTAAACACCTCAACCCTAAACCCTGACAGTGTCTTTTTTTTGACAATCAAACCCTAAGGAGCACAAAAAACTGTCCTAAACCCTAACAGGCCTTAAGCCCTAAATACCTAAATTGTCTTTTTGGGTACGAATAATTGTCCTAAGCCCTGAACCCCAAGCCCTCGGCCCCTACACAGCCCGCCGAAACCCTCAGCCCCTAAACCCTAAACATATTCTTTTAACGAGCAAACCCGAAGAAGTGCGAAAAGCTGTCCCTAAACCCTTAATCACAAGCCGTAAACCCTAAACCCTGAAAGTGTCTCTTTTTCCTTTTGTTCAGGCAAACCCGAAGAAATACGAAAAACTGTCCTAAACCCTGAACTCAAGCCCTGAACCCCTAAACTGCCCCTAAAAACCTAAATTGTCTAGGCCTTGCAGCCCCAAGAATAAACCCCTCGAAACCAAAGCTGCACAGGAAACCGAATGAGTGGGTCAAAATAAGGGTAAAATAAGCAACCAAATGCAAACACGGAAGACAATTAAAATAAAACATCCATTTGTGCAAAACAAAAATATAAAACACAAAAACATGGGAAGACATTCAAGAAACGAAGTCCAAAACAATGGGGTTGCAAAAGGGAGGGCGCACACTGAAGTCTTAACACGGTGTTTTTCTCGACACGCGGGGTGTCGAAAAAGCATTCATGTTAAGTAAGACGAGTGTGCGCATCCCAGGGTGCAGACTCGACAGAGAACCCGACATTACCCCCCCAAGGATACAGACTCGAGTGTTAGCGCGATGTTTTCTCGACCCTCCTTCCACGCCGTGTGTGTGTGCCTTCGCGCGAAGTGCAGCGCAGAACACCAAAAGAGCAGTAATAGCGATCGTGCAGTCATCTTTAATGTGTCACATGCTTCACTTCACTTTTGGGGTCAGTATCTGGTCACGGTTTCTGGCCACCATCGTCGCTTCTTTTTACCCCCCGATTGGGTGTTGGATTGCAAGCCTCGGTTACCTTCCCTTGATTCTAGTCACATCCCTCCTGTCTGCTATTTATTGTACGCTACAAGACCCTACACTCCACCAGTGGATGAATGGACACACAGTTGTGAGATGTTGTACGGCTGGCATTCGATAACGCAGGCAAAAGTACGGATTGGAGGAGGCGCTACGAAGTGGTCTTGAAACCGAGTTAATATTCAAGCTTGCTGTTGGCACGGTCGCTGCTCTCTTGCTGCCATTTGCCGTCGCAAGGTTGCTTTGAAGGCTTCCGGTCTAGTTGGCTTCATCCGCTTCCTTTGTGGGTCTGCCCCTCTCCAGACTTCAGACTTCGTAGGCTACCAGTCTTGCAAGATCTTGCGAGTGTTCGCAGCGCCCACATGTCGCGTTGTGAGCGAACAGAGGCACTACCTCATACTTATCAAGACACACAAGAAGGCAAGTTCGGCATGTTCAACGTTTCACACCAATGCACTTGCTGACAACCTTGGTGGCAGGTGGGCAAAATCGGCCGCAGCCTGATTTTCTGAGGCTGGTGCTGGTAGCTCTACCGGAAATTTTGTGCCAACCGTGCAGAACTGTGCACCCTTGACTTGCTATATGATCTATATGCCATCTATGCCTTGCCCGGCAGACAACCTGCTGACTCTCAATACATGCAAGTTTGGCATGCTATCGGCCGCATTAAGCTGCATTCGCTGGAGGCTGTAGACGTGTTCCGCGCGCGGTATCGATGACCGATGAACTGTTAACAGAGCGCTTGGCAAAGCACTTATGCCGACATCATCGGAACTCCAATCGCTCGCTATCTCGATCACACAGGAATTTGGGGTTTCATTTCATGGCTTTTTGATGCATCGGGAAACGCTGGGATTCTACAGACCGAGATTTTTGTTCGAGCGACTAGAGCACGTCTTCTTTACGTGCATTCAGGTTGGCACGTCATTCTGCCGCGCCTGGAGTTTGCCTTTCAAGAAAACACGGATTCCGCCGAGGGAGCAATGGCACCACAACGCCAAGGTAGCCTCTTTGTTTGCCCTACGGAAATCATTCTTGCTTTTCTGGGTCGGCGACCCGTGTTCATGTTTTTCTCGACAAGCGGGAAGACTCAAACGCCGTGAACGCAGCCGTTCATCCCATCATGAGGCCAATCAGATGCAAAATCGCAAAGTGACCGGCCAAACATAAGACATAAGACAAGGATCTTCTAGTATCCAGACAGAGAAACGCCTCCCAGCAAAATATTAAAAAACCAGAGCGGCAGACAAGCATATTACTGTCGCACCAGATGACCTTAGGTCGTCACCATGTGCTGTCGATTGAGTCGACAACCTTGGTGCCGCTCTTTGGTGATTCAAGCAAGAGGCGCTGTTCGAAACTAGCCGATTCATCTTATCGACCACGCCTAGCTTTGAGTCTGAGGGAGGAGAAGAATTTCAAGGACCAGCTCAACAACCTGAACCTCTCGAAGGAGACTGGCAGCCAAGATCTGTCCGGGTTGCTTGTTACATGCACCCTCTTCCTTCTAGCATCGTGTTGTTGCCGGCACCATGCAGGCTCAGAACCTAGACATCATGAGTACTCAGTGACGATGGAGGTAGCAAAGTGGTGGATGCATGGGGTTCAAGATGGTTCTAGTACCAGTTCACAGGGTTGGTCATTAAGTCATCCAAGCTTCGATGGAGACGTCGCATGAGTCCTTTGCTGCATTCGTGCAGGCGAGTGCATACTGTTCGCTTGAGTCACGTCGGAGCCCACGACCGCCATCTGCTGACATCTCTTTGCCTTCCCCAGCACCACCGCCCACACGCTTAAATGGTGCAGTCCTGCTGACAATGACTTCGGATGAAGGGCCGGCGTTTGCTCAAAAGCTGCATCGGGCACGTCTTGCATTGAAGGCAGCACGTATTTCGGAGGCCGAAGGAGAAGTCACTCAAAAAATCACTACACGCAAGCAAATTTCGCGCCCATGGAGGGAAATCCCTCCGCAAGCGCCGAATTCAGGTTGGAAGCGCGTGCGCGGTGCTTTGATGGCCTTGCAAAGTGAGAAGATGTCTGATCTGGTCAAGCACCGGTCCCAGATCACCAGACAGGTGCGACATCGGATTGAGGCCTTCGACAAGCGGATGGCGCGGATGGCTTTGTCAAGCGGAAGAAACGTGGCCACCAGCGAGTCTGCGGAGAACCTCTCGACCGGCGATGCAGGCAAAGAGGAAGCACACGGAAGCACACGGAAGCACACGGAAGCTCATACTTGTGCCATGTGTAACAATACTCCGTGTTCGAGACATGGCGTGATGAGCGACGCATGTCATGAACGCAATTGAATGCTCACGTTGTGTTTCTCTCCAAGAGAAGCGGTCTCTCCAAGAGAAGCGGTGGCAGGGTGGCAAAGAGGTCAAGACAGGCTTGATTGTAGTGAAATCACTTCAACAGAGCGAGTCTAGAGTTTAGAGTTACGGTTTAAGGGATTAGGGGGGTTATAAGACAACTATGTGATGAAGGGCCCTGTCGATTGATGACCGTGTAAATGCAGCGTTATCTGCTTCTGGGCATCGGAATGTTCATCCAATGCCGGTGCACGTTCGCAGCGGGAAAGTCCATCAGATCTATTGGTCTACCGCTGAAGTGTTCACCGTGAAGCAGTGATACACGATAGCACGGAATGTGCAAACACTTTGCAAGACACGAATCTACAACCCATAGACCCCACAACCCCCAAACTGAACGCCGAAACATCCGAGATCGTCGAAGCCCGCGCCTCATCAGGCGAGTCTCCGGCCAAGGCGATGCCGTGGGAACTCAAGAGCGGCATCCAGGACCCAAGGGAAGCGGAGGGTAGCCTGCAATATCAGGACGCTTGTACTGTGTCATGTATTCTCTCGTATCCGAAGTTGCACCGTTGATCCAGGATGCCAGAGGCTGCAATGGTGCGGACATCAGTACTTGCTCTGAGGCCGCAGCAGGTTTGGGTGTGTAGCCAAACTTTAGGGACGTTAGGCTCGCAGCTTGTACGTGGGGCAATGCTTCGACGTAAGATTAGTATCCGATGCGCGCTAGATCTTGCAGCAGCCTGTCTGTTCCCTTGTCACAGCCTTTGATCTCTTGGAAGGATGGTCCTCCGGATTACCACAACAAGCTCAAGGCTTTTTTCGAAGAGCACATGCGGTCTGACGAGGACTTCTATTATGTGTACCCGACTGTCGCATCGGTGATGTCTTGCGGTAGGTTTTGTCCCAGCATGTTCTTGATCGACGATGATTTCGAAGGCTGATTTCGCTTGCTATTCACGACTTGTTCCAGTCTGATTGGCGACACAGATCCATATCATTTGTTTATCGACTTCTCCGAAACTCTTGGCCCAACACTTCTTGATAGCATCTGAGCACACCCGTGTGAGTTTGTGTGATGAAGTCCCGATAAATGGCAAGAGCGGAGACATGCGAAAACGTTCATCTTTGAGTGTCTTCCTAAGGACATTCCGGGTGGTACGCAAGCACGTACGCTGTTTGGCAACAGCTGCTCACCCCTCCAAACCTCCAAGAGCAGACCCCGAAACGCTGTTCAGCTCGTCTCACCACTGCTCACCTGTTCTGGCACGATTTCAGTCAGCCTTTTTTCACACGGAGCACTACTGCTACGTATTTGACAAAGTCCATTAACTCGGATGCCTATGCTTGGCTCTGGGGTCCTAAATTCATCAAGGTTCTTAAGACCTTGCCGCTTGGGAGAACAGTGCGATCACCAGCAACGTAGGGACTCCGTGTACCCCTGAACCCCGGGCCCCTGCAAGAACTGTGCAAACAACGCAGTCGTACAAGAAGCTTTGAATGTCTCGTAATGCGTATATGTGTGTGCAACGTGTGCAGGACGGAAGCAGTCCGGGCAGGACCCAGTCCATCGGTGCCGAGGACATGGCCTCGCTCGCCTCGTTAGGACCATCGGCACCCCGGGCTCGGGGCAGCTTGAATGCCTTGAGTGCCCTGGGCGCCAAGAACGTGCTGAATGTAAACCTGGCCGATGCGGACACGTCGCTACTGATGTCCCGGCGCACGAATCGCGCACCTTGCTGACCTTGCTGGTTCGCGGGGCTGCTTGCGGCAACTGGCTGGACCCACTTTCCAGAATTAGGAGTGACAAAGTACGAGCCGTCAGATTGGCGCTGCTGTTGAAAACACCGTCAAGGAAACGGACGTACTTGTGTAGAGCTGCCTGACAAGGTGTACAGCTGTATAGTTTGCCTTGTGGCATGTTGCAATCGGCCAAAGGCGCTCCCACAGAATCCATATGCTAGTCACAATGCATCCTTGGATGTCTCCCGACCGTGTGTTAAGGGCAGTTCATGGCCATGCCATGCAGGATTTTTATTTCTCCTACTCCTACGAGCTCAGTCGCACGGTCCAGCAGAACCTGGCAGATGCCAAGTGCGCTGCACGAGGCAGCAGGAGTTCATTTCCGAGTTGAGGTTCATGTGCGTGTGGCTGTCGGAGGGGTTTGCGTGAATTTGTGTGTTGCGAGGCGAATGTTGTTTCTGATTGAGTTGCCAGTGATGTCAGGTCAGCTCAGACCGTTGTATGTGGAGAAGGACTTGCAGCATCTACCAGTGGGGAAAGAAGTTGAGTGAATGCATGATTGTGACAGTTGTGAGCCGTGAGCACCATGAAGCAGTTGAAGAACATGCAGCAAGGATGCCACAAAGCATCACAGGTTTGTGCCAGGGCCTGAGCACATCTGAGGCTCTGGAAGTTGAGATAGCATTAGCATTGCGGATCATTGCGGCTTAAGATGGAACCACCACCACATGATGCCCTTTTTCGCCAACGAACGATGGCAGCATTGGTGCCTTTCGATCATTCACGGCTTCTTCGCGTGCCGCCCTGAGACTTCTAGGCACGGTCGATGGCCTTCCAGGATTTAGCATCTGCGCTGAGGCATACGAAATGCTCCTCCTTTGGCTGGACCTTTGAAGTTGCACTGATTGCCAGGTGCTCTACCATGCTTTGTTACACATCTGATTCAGTCACGCATAGCAGACGTCGTGCGTCCATTGAGCTCACCCTCCATGCTAACGTCAAGCTTGTGCTCAAGTTAGAGGCGCTCGCGATTCTATGCAGGAACGCGTGCTGCTGCCTCGCTTTTGGGGTTGCAAGGGTGTCATGTCCATGCAAGGGCAGCTTTTTCTGTAGTGCTTTGCACATCTTTGCACCTTCCTGTTACGCACTGCGACGCATACGATCTCAAGAAAGAAGCCTCATGCCCATCAACCACACAGGAGAATTGCATGCCATCGCAGAACTGGTTTTCAGAGACTCGAGGGAGGTCTCTTCAGGGGGAGAGGTGGCCGCGCGCCTTCAAAGGAGGACTCCATTTTTCCGACCTGTTCTCCCAAGATCCGGGGGGGTGGGCGAGCCTCAGAAGTGTGCAGACGAGAGCTCAATCGGTCGCTACTCCTCCATGATCAAGGGAAACTGTTCCGTCCCTAGCTCGTCCCAAGCCATTCCTCGTTGAAGGGAGAGGCCGGGCTTGGTATGCTTATGCGTTGGTGTCTCCGAGCCAAGAGACACAAATGGTCACAAAGCTGCGTCCCTGTTTGTGCTCTCTTTTGGCGGTGCCAACTTGATGTGGAAGAAGACTTCAGCCGAGATTTGGCTGCTCTTTCTTAATGTGAAGCGTGTAAATCCTGGCCAGCTTCGCTTGAAAGATGATGTGGAGCTAGGGCATCGTTCTGGTTTCCTGGAGTGCAAATTGGCAAAGGGGGGAACGGGGAGGTGCTCGCTAGGGGTGGGCTCTCTAGGGAGGGGATGAAAGGTGGGTAAACAGGGGGTCGGGGAACTCCGAGCCACATGGCTGGGGCTCAGACGAAGTGCGGCATGGAGCAATGCCGTTTTGAGCTTTAAAGAAGTTGGAAAGTTTGCCCACCCGGGTGCTGAGTGGAACACAGGCTACCGAAAGCGTGGGCTGAATGTGGATGGCCAGGCCGGTATCGGCTCTTGATATGCCTTGCTTGGTCTGACCTGAAAACGTTGAGTTGTTTAAGTACCAAGGTCGGCAACGACGTTGAAACCGAACAGCTTCTTTGCGATGATTCTCTGCGTCATCTGTCTACTGGCCACGTCATGAGCTTCGTTCAGGCCACGTGTGCTTCCGAGGTTGTGTGGCACTGACATGTTCGTTAGTTGTGATCAAGTTAGTCTCTCGCGCAGATCCGCGGTAGCGTGCCGTTGTTTTGGTCGCAAGAAGCCACGGCCATCAATCCCAAGCCCCCGGTCACGTCCTCAGCATTCTGAGGTGATTCTTTGTCATGGTTTTAAGATCGCTTGCATTTCGCTAGCATGCTTGGCGATTGTGGTAGCTGAGTGCTAATGGGACGGAAAAATGCACCAATCGAAGTCCTCTGATTCACCACCAGCGGCAAAGCTCACAGGTAGTTTATCCGCGCTGCGACCCAACATTGTCTGCCACACGGCGACACTTTGCCGACTTGCTTGAGAGGTGTGGTGATGTGTGGTGCATCGTGGAGTGCATGCAAAGCAGTTGTTCTGTATGTTTGTTGTCAGCATCTGTCAGCATACGTTAGCATGGTTGCAGGTATGGTACTCCACAGCTTGTAGTCAACCTCATGAAGGCCAAGAAGGCCCACATGATCACACAGTGAGCGTGCCTCGCTGGGACGGATCCTTCCGTTTTATATGAAGCCCTACGACATTGGGCAATGTTCAAGCTCAGCACAGACACTGCAGAGGTCCAATAACTGAGTTAGTGAGACACTACAGCATGCAGCAGTCACCAGGTCAAAAAAGGGCCACGCGAGCCACACACACACACACACACACACACACTAAATTGACATAGCTATCATAAACCAGTTCTGTTTAACGGACACACGTAAGTCGATTTCTCGTACTGGTCAAGCTCAATGTCGCGCCGAGGCAGGACAGAGGAGCGGCTTTGGGTTGATTGTCGGAAGCAGTCACTTCCTTCCTGTGTATTTCTGAACCTTTGCTGCAGACGCTGGCTCAACATTACATCCAGCCCCACGACTGGCCACACACCCAAGTCAGTCTTTGCAACACCTGCACACTCAATCAGCGTGTTTCGTCATACGGAGGAGTGCAAAGACTAGGGCTAGGGAGGTTTTAGACCTTTATTTTTGTCCTTGTAAAGTGGGATGTGCATGAACTGCGGTTTATCTACGAACTTAGCGCATGCAATGAATGCAGGTATATGCAGGCATTTGCAGGCATATGCAGGCATCAGTATCACACAATCAAAGGCCCAGTCCAACGGAGACGGGGATCATGCCTTGGATTCCTTGGCAATCTCTCAGATGGTATGACTGGAACCGGAATACCTCGCCCAGAGACTCCGCCACGATACCGCTACGTCTGCTCTGGAACAAGTGATGATGAGGAGGAATGCCATGGCAACAACAAAGTCCTGGCAGCACGGAAGCGCGCAGGTTCAGTGGGACGACCGGTGCTGATTTCGCGCAAGTTAGATCGTCAAAGGCACGGGGGTACTTCGGAGGTTTCTCCTGAGATGTCCGGAGTGCCTCAAGCTGCTTTGCAAGCACCTGCAATGTTGAACTTAGGGTATCTGGACGCGGCACTCGGATTGGATCCTTTTGTCGGGAGGGACCAACGCAATCCTGCTGACAAGAACGTGTTTGGCATCGAAGTCAGTGCAAGCTCAGCATGCCAGGCCTACTCGGTATATGATCCAGGGTCATCTGCCCAAGTTGCATCAGCTTTTGCTGGCCAGCCATGCATGGCCCCATCACGATCCTTTCAAAGATCGCAGAGTGCTGGGAGGAATGTTCGCCGAGAGAGTGCATTCTTAAGGCCAGCAGTCAGCTTCCAAGAGCTCCGATATGGCCAAGGCCAAGGTTTGGGATTTCGGCCTCCAGCACCGCCACCGTATCCCGAAGCTGGCGACACAGGCTTCGCGTTCTCACAATTCCCTTTTCCTGGTCAAGCGCAACACCAAGCCCATGCCCAGTCCCGCTTCCACTCTTTACACTCCTTCTCTTTCGCTCCGACTGCCCCCTGGATGTGCGCGACGACGGTCACTAACACGTGCTGGCGGCCTCATGAGCAGCTGCAGCAACACAAACAACAGCAGCAAACGCCAGGCCTACTTCCACCACCACTTTGCACCCCGCACACGCCACGAAGAGATGCACAAGACTCACAGAATTCACAGAAGATGCAGCTTGGAACGAGTGAGTTTCAGATTCCAGCCGCTCAGTGCAGTGACCGAGTCTGTCCACTCGATTATCATTCCTGTGATGAGAAAGAGCAGCCCGTGCCGATTCATCATGCCCTGCAAGAACTGCAGCAGCTTCAGCCCCAGCACACCGAAAAAATTCCTCAGAAACGGGTTGGGCGTCCTGGCTGCAAGAAGCCCTGCAGTTTGAGTCGGCCTACGAATGCCTGCGCATGCTTGCGCATGCGTGCCAAGAATTCCAGGAAGCTTCGGATACCTCCAAATACCCAGGCAGCCAAGGCACGCCGAGAGATGCCGAGAGATACCCAGAGATACCCAGAGATACCAGAGTATCCGAGAGATATCGAGAGTATCCGAGATTTGAGTTCGGTTGCAAACTGCTGAAGCTGCTCGCATGGCAAGCGTATGTTTCTTTCCATCCATTTCGGGTCCAAAGCCACCACACAGTCTACGTTAGCCTCATGGTCTGTCAAGTCTGCAGTCAAGATCAGCCAGCACCGCAGATTACCAAGATCATCGAAGATCGGGATGCAGAATGGCCTTATGTGCGGCAATCAAATCAGGTCTTTTCAGCTGAGAGGGTTTGGACGCATGTTGAGCCCGCTTGCAGGTAGAAGAAGACAGGCCTATCAGCGAAAGTAGGAGTCCGATTCCCAGAGAGTGTCATTGGAACGACCTGGTAAGCTAGGTGCTGCTGTCTTTGCTGCCGTGCCCTTGCATGTCTAAGGTGAAGAAATACCTCAAGTTGCAGCAGATCGGCACCCCGGGCAATGATCAAGAGCTGCACTGCGCAAACCAGAAGCCCTGCACAGTTCGCGTTCTCTCTTGCCATCTCTTGCCAAATTCTGTAAATGTGAACGCTTGTGATTGATACAGAAGTCTCCTATGTTTCCAGTTATTTCGTACCCCCAAGGCACACGACGGGTGACCACTACACAGGTGCTCTCTGCGGCAGTGTTCCGCCGAATGAAGGCACCCCGTATTGACAAAAAGTAATCAAAGGACTTTCTCTCGCTAACCTCGCCCAGGCTCCTTGCCCACTGGGAGCACGCCCAGCCAACCCAGCCGTACTTGTATCTTTCCGAGGCCCTCGCACAATCTCAGGCAGGAGCATCGCATTTGCATTGAGGTTGTTCTTGAATCGCCTGGATGCTGAAACACTTACCTTTTATCAGGTCGCAGTCGTCCGGTGCGCGGATCCTCATTACTGGCGCAAGCGGTCTGCTGGGGCGGCAGGTCATGCAGGCTTTCAGCACATGGCAGGCGGACATGCGGTTGCTTGTTGCTGCGCGATTCATCACCAGTGCACATCTCAATGTCAAAGTGTCCATCCAGTCATGCCGAGTCATGTGAGTTCATATCGGCGCGCAGGTGCAGGGTGTTTGCAAGCGCCGAGCACGACTGCCGAACATAGTCGCCTGTGAGCCTCAAGCAGCAGGGTCATGGAGAGTGACGGCCGGACAGGGGTCGCATTGTCCCTTCTAAAGTGCGCTGAGGACCTGACCAAGGAAGGTGCCAAACACTTAGATTCGAAAGGTGTCCTTGAGTCGAGTACGTCGCAAGGATCGGCTTTGTGAAGCTTTGTTCCATTTTGCTCCTCAGATGCCTCAGGTCATAGCCAAACTCATGGAAGATTATCGCCCACATGTTGTGCTGCACTTGGCAGCAGAGTGGCGCCCAGAAATGCTCCGACAATATCCGGAGCAGGCTAGGCGATTAAATGTGGATGCCACAGGCTCGGAGGGCTCGGAGTCTGAAACGTTCTAAGACACTTGGCAGTCAGTCACTAGCAGGGGAACACGGCAAGCCCAAGCTTGAAACTTTGGGGCCTTTGGGCCTTTGGGCAGGCATCATCGCTGCAGCCTGTGAGAGCCTTGGGGCTTGGCTCGTGCTTCAGTTTGCATCAGTCTGCACAGCCTTTCCAGGAGTTCAACCGTGAGTTCCCAGCCTTCGGTTGCGAATTGGGATTAAGCATGATTATGCATGCTTGAGCATGATCAAGTCTTCAAGCTCGGCTTGAATACAAGGTGCATGTAAGCGCCGACTGTGTTTTTGATGGCAGCTCGCCTCCCTACACGACCGTGTCGAAGCCAAATCCGCTCAGTGAGTATGGTCGCTGTGGCTGGCATTCAGGTTTTGTTTTATTCGGCTCTTCAGCGGCCAGTTGCAACATGTTGCAAAAGAATGGCATGAGTTTTTCAGATGAGGTTGGCATAAGCTCCACAGTGAGCAGTTGGCACAGGCGGCTTGTCCACAAACAGCTATACTCCGGGTCCCCTTGCTGTATGGCCCGCTGGAAGAGTCTTTGTCGGAGTCGGTGCTTTGTCTGCAAATTGGGTCCACATGCATCTGCATCCAACAGCGGCGATTCCTTCTTGTGCGACTACAAAGGCGGTGACCAGTTTATATGCAGATCTCGCAAACGGCATTCGCAACCTGGCCAGACTTTTCTGATGAACAAAGGTCACAGGATTTCACAAGCAGAATCACTGTTACTTAAAGGAGGATTTAATTTAAGTTTGGGCCGTAGGCTTTCCCTTTTTGAAGGAGAAGTAAAGGCATTCCCTCCGCACCTCGGGCCTGCCATCAGGGAAGATTTTCTGAAAGTTTCTGAAAGGGTATACATGTAGAATCAGGACAGAGGACCTGACAGAACCTGCGACTGCTGTGGAATCTACCTCCAGCCTCCGAATTTTTTCCCACCCTCTTCAGAAGGGGCAGGCACCTGGCGAAGGAGTCGTTGAAAATTGAGCATGGCGCAAGTGGCATCAGAGGCAGATGAAAAGTAGAGGTTGATGATTAGGGGCCCACTGCCAGGAGCGGCCGGCATTTCGTCTAAGGTGTGAAAGAGCCCGTGCTGCGCAGAACTAGCAGCCATCCGAGAGAGGATCGTCTCTGATTGGACCTGGGCTCCGAGGTGAAGTGGATGCTTGGCAACAATGCTACCCGACTTGGACTGGCGATGTTGCCAATGTGTTGAAACGCATGGTGGAACTCCATTTGGCCGGAGAGCGCTTGCAGGGCATCTATCACTTTCAAGGTTGCTCGGATGGATTTAGCGGCATTTTAGCGTTGCTTTACAAACTTCACCTTTGCCGTGCCAGCCCTGATAGTAGTCCTAATCAGCTTTCCTTGGAAAGTGCTGCTAGAAACACTTGCATGTTTGACCGTGTTGGCACATGCAACCGTAAGTGGTGTAAGTCCAGCTAGTTGACCAGGTAATGAGCGATTCACCTGGTATGCCTGGCGCTGAGTTGCGTTTTAGTGGGGTTGCTGGTTGGAGGCGCTTGCTGCAGTCACTTCTGGAAGATGTCACGCACCGGCGGGCAGTGCAAGCTAAATGCAAAATACAGCCGGACAGGAGATGATGCTGCTTGTGGCGGAGGTTGCTGGCTTGGATGCTTCTGG